AGACCCTTATTTATAGTCCTAGGGTTTTGATCTTACTTAGGAAAAGAGTAATTGCCTTAGCCCATTCAGATTCGGACTAGGATAATGCATTAACTTAACAAGCCCATGACCCATCGTCGCGGCGGTAAGAACAGTCACTGTGGTGATCGTTCTTTCTGTCCAAGGAGTCCGTGATCTTCAGAATTTGGTAAAGTCATCAACACAAACTTTGTAGCTCTCTGAATAAGCTTTCCAACACCACTAGAATCGTTGAATTCTGATTTCTACAGCTCAAGTTATGACAGAAACATCAAAGCATGCTCATCTTGAAGGATTTCCAGATTTTACGTTATATCTTCAACGCGTCACAACTTTCTCGTTTCAACTCCGATTCTTGTACCGTTTGCTCCTACGTGTCATGAATTCCATCGACATCATTCTTTTCCCTTCAAATATCTGTTTGAGCCTGAAAACACTCAAAATACACCCATGATCCCATAAAAGGTATTTATGAAAGAATTAATTCAAATTCCACACTTTAAACACATTTTTTCATAAATAATCCAATTAAATCACTAACAAACTATAAACTTTCAAGCTTTTATCAAGCCGACTTAAGCAGATTCAGCATGTGTGTGACTGAGTGGAGAAGGAAATGGGTGTTTCAACATCTCTCATGTCTTAAGTGGACATGTCAACTTAAAACAACTATAACTTTTGATCCGTGAGGAGTTATGAGGCATGTAAGATATCATTTTAACCTGTGATTAGATTTAGATTACATTCTAAAACTATATAAATTAACTAAGTTCACAAACATAGAAATCTTTGTTAGGCATACTGATGATTCATAGAATTATAAGAGAAAATGATGATACATAATGAAGAAGAAGGAATTCCCGACAGAAATGAGTCCTTAGGTCCTGAACTTGTCTCAACTACAATTGTTTTCTATATGACCTACCAGATATTGCTTTTGTCTGGCTTTAGTAAACACCAGACAACCGCCTCCAGTAGACACATTTCTATCAATTGAGTCAAGAATTTAAGCTATGAAAAACCCTTATTATGTGCACATAGCAGCAAACCTTGGCTATTAAATATTTTTCAAACTAGGACCTTTCGAGATAATCTACCTGTCCCCTACTGATAGTGATCTTCTATGCTTCCCAAGTTCCCATGTTGCAAGTTCTTTGACGTTAACACCTTCAAACTCTAAGATAAGCATCTACTTCATTCAGGTAAATGTAGATTGTCAAAATCTAATCCTTTATTTTTCAAACTTACAGCCAAAGATGGAAGAAGAAAATACTGGCTAAGTTGCAGAATTAATCACTAGAGTCGAATTAGCAATGTGAAAGCGAGGATAAGCCATTCTCAAAAGACAATAGTTAGTCATGATGTTCAAGGTGCCCCCACCAGTTCTTACCCATTATTCCAAGTGTCATCATAACAAGCTGATAATTATGAAATTGTTCGAAGTATGACTTCGATAACTTCAGCTACCGAAAATTCGTACTAGTCCAACACAACTACTGTAGAAACTCAAAATTAACGGCTCATTTTTATGACTTGTGAACAATTTGATGTTTCACTAATGTCAAAATCTGTTCGTTCAAGATACCTGTTCTATGAAAATGAAAGCATAGGTGAAAACCATGGGAAATATATTTGTGCATTTTTGTTGGTATTATATACATATGAATAAATTCAGAGCTGTTCGAAAAATTGAATTGAGATTATACATGTAAACAGAGACCACCATGGCCCTTTTTTACTTCCAAACAAAAGTTCCACCAAAGAATACAGAAACAATATTAAGGTTGAACATGGAAGAAGGTAAAGGAATTATAGTAGATATTTAATGACGAAATTTAACTACCCCACAGAGCTGCTTCAGTAAGCTCCATTCAATTCAGCAGAAATTGTGTAAAGATGTCAGTGGAATGAGTTCAGGTGGAAAATTTGGCAATTGATAATCCTATTTTTTATAGTGATTTTGTATTGAATTTCAATAGGATATAGGATACTTCTCATATAGTTTGGGTCATAATTGTTACATAATTCTATTAATTTTACTTTGTAGGCCTAAACAATGATTTTGAGCATAAATGATTATGTGAGCGTAAATTACGTAACTTGAGATTTTTAACTCGGAATGACCTGAATTTAGAAGCTATGAAAAGCTAAGAAGCAGAGCTACAACTTTCATCTTAGTTTTTTTTCCTTATTCTGACTGAAACATGGTGAAAACTTGGCTTAAAGTTGTGAACAGCCCGCTGCGAACTGAAGAAAAACGTCTTTGAACATGTGTCAGTATTTTTACCATAACGTGAGCTGTAGACCTAAGATTGGTATAATTTTTGAACGATTAGAAATATAAGACATAGAGCTACAACTTTTATGTTTTGATCGTGACCCGGTTCAGCTTAAAAAATGGTTAAAAATTGAGCCGAAAGTTACGTTAGTACATAAAAGGCAAGCAGATTTGTTATCATGTATTTTTAATTTAAGTGTGGCTTTTTATCATAATACCTTCACGACTTTAATACCATAAAGAGAGGTTCTTAGCAATAGGAGAGGAGGCTAGGGTTAAGGCTGTGCAAAAAAATCCGATATCCAATCCTAATCCGCTCCGCTCCGCTCCGAAAAAATCGGATATCCGAAAATTCGGATCCGATGCGGATCGTAATTTAAAAAAAACCGAATATTCGGATCGGATACCGGATCGGGATTGTTAAAAAAATGGATATCCGTATCCGATCCGGATTTTACTAAACTACGTCGTTTTGAGTTTTAAAATAACCCTAACAGTCTAACACAATTAAGTCAACTCTCTCACTCTCTGTCTCTCTCGCTCGAACACGCACAGCCTCTCACTCTCTCAGACCAGATCTCATCTCAGTCTCTCACTCTGTCTCTCTCGCTCAACTCTCTGACTCTCTCGGTCTCTCTCGCTCGAACACGCACAGACACAGACACACAGTCAGTCAGCCACTCAAACTCTCTCAGACTCAGATCTCAGTCTCTCTCGCTCAACTCTCTCTCGCTCGAACACTCTCAGATCTCAGTCTCTCACGATTGAAGCCCCAAATCGATTGTTGTCACAGCCTAGTGCGACTGCCGCCACACCGTAATAGCCTGGTGCGATTTCGTGGTGCTTATTTCTTTATTATTGTTGGTGATGGTTTGTTAATGGTACAATTTGATGGGTGTTTTTGTTTTGATGTTGATTTGAGTTTGATGTTAATGGCACCGTAATATGGTGCCTTCTCTCTTTGTCCCGGTTACAAACCTTCTATTGTTCATTAGTATTGATTTGCGTTTCGAACCTATTACAAGGATGATGGAGGCTGGGTTTGATTCAAACTGTGCCGATTGGGTTTGGTTTTATGTGTGTTTCCAAAGATTGTTGGTGGCTGGATTTGATTCAAACTTAGTGGTTGGTTTGATTTTGTTTGTTTGATTTGTGTTTCTAACGGCTGATGTGGTTAGTTTGGGTTTGATTGTGTAATCTGAACACTACAGTGATGAATATTGTCAATGCATGGCGCTGGCTGAAGTAAATTTTGACCATCCCAAGGCCCCAAGGCGGATGATGAAGAGGAGTCTGAGAAGTCAATGTCAGAGGTGAACGATGAGGATGATGATGAGGAGGGCAGTGGCGAGGTATAATTTATTTTTTATTTATTTTTTTTTTTTTTTTATTTTTTTTTTTTTTTATTGTTTTTTTTTTTTTGTTTTGTTTTGTTTTGTACAGGAGGATGATGACGAGTAGGAATTGGCAATGAAGATAGCATAGTCATTTATGTTGTGACAGTGTTTGGATAACATATGTTAAATGTTTTATGCTTCATGTTAATTTTTTTAGATACATTTATCATGTAAGGGAATTATAATTTCAATTTTATTGCTAGAATTATTTGATTTTAATAAGAAAATTTTAAAATTCGGATCAATTTCGGATATCCGATTATCCGATCCGAATAATCGGATATCTGTAAAACCGGATATCCACATAATTCGGATCGGATTTGGATTAATATATAGCCTGATCCGAAAATTCGGATCGAATCAGGAAAAGCCCTATTCGGATTGGATATCTGGATTTGAACAGCCCTAGCTAGGGTTTTGAAAAAAAGACATCAAAGAGGAGGAGGAGATCAAAGGAAAGAGGCTAGCACATTCATTCGGGAGAAGTTGGCACGATACTTTTCGAGAGATCAATTCTTCAAGATTTCAGTTTTTGTTTTCTCTTACTCTACTTTTATGCATCAGTTTGGAATTGTTATGATGATGAGTTCAAAACTAGTGTTGATTGTTATCACTTTGATTATGGGGTAGATTGTTATTGTTAAGGGGTAGATTCTACCGAACCATGTTGACTTGATTTTCAATTTTATTAAAGCATTCAGAAATTTATTGTTCTACAAGAATCTGTGTGATTTGCTTAATGTTTTTGGATTTGATGTTTCTTTAATTATTTAGGGCTCTTATTGAATGATGAACCAGGTGGTGAAGTTTGATTAGAAATCTTTTGATTAGGGTTTCATTGTGTTCAACTGTTTTATTGATGTGATGATAAACCGGGCAATGATATCACATTAGGTCATTAAAATAACATAGATCATAGATTGAGTAGGATACTTGGGAGAGTCTTATGAGGTTTATGTGGCCAGTTTAGGTTTTAAGCGGGAGCGGAACCTAACCATTAATGAATTTCACAATTGTATTAAATTGAGGGATCTAGTCATCTTTAGATCAATAAATTTCTTGAATCTGATTTTTATAGCATGTCTATCAACATTGGTTTAGGTAGAATCGAAACCCTTAACATTTTTATCATATAGTGATATTTGTCTTTGTTATTTAATTGTTTTAATTTCTAGCAATTCTTGTTTTTATTTTAAATTCACATCATCAATTTCGTTATCTCAAATAACAATTAAGATCAGTCAATTTATTTGTTTGTTTAGCATTCAGTCTTGTGAGATTCGACACTTTATTCATCACTTTATTACTTATCGATTAGTGACTTGGTAGGGTACGAGATAGTCACAACAGCAATTTGGGTTGTATGAACTCCTAGCAGCCTTTTCAAATTTCCTCACTGCAGCTACATTTTCTTCTAAGCTGGTCTGGGCAAAGTAACGTACCCACCAAGAAGAACTCTTCAATTTCGCCTTCACAAGGAGAAAACTCAGCATGTAGTATACAAAGGAAATACATTTTTTTTTAAAATATATATTTGATAATATACATTTTTCCAGCAACAGCAAGGGGAAAAAATATGCGATAAAAAACACAATTTCATTAAAAAGCTAAATTCAAGAGTGTCCAATTTCATACAAGAATAAGCGACAAAGGCAGTAAAGCATCTGCATCCAATTGGTGCAAAGGAAAAGAAGATACTATTGAGATAATTTAGCATCTCAGACTCAACTGCTTGAAGCATATAGGCTATTAAATATTTCAAATGTATGCACAAGTGTATAACCTATTCAGCAAAATAAGGACATGCCTTCTTCAATGCAAACAAGACCTAAGCCTAGTAAACTAAGAACAGCACGTTTAACCAGACATTTTACAATACATTGCTTTCCCGTTCATTGACAAGTTCAACCTTCTTTCTAATGAAACACGTTCATACAACACTTCTGAATATCAGTTAAAAAGAAAAACAGCATTTGCTCTTTTGTTTGTCAGATCATCACTTCTAACTTTTCAGTGTCAAAAGATTAGCAAACCATTAACGCAAATGCAACGGAGGAGTCATGGACTAGGTATTCTAGTCCTTAAAGCCACAGCATTCAACAAAACAAGCCTAACAATTTGATACTACTACCCTTTTGCTTATTATTTCCTTCTGGCATCCTCCTTTCATCGGGTAAAGATAACAAAAAGCAACAACCTGACAGAAACCAAGGGGCTGGGAAAAGATTCTGTTGACTCGAGCTGAGTAATAGAAGATGCCTTTCTTGTTAAGATATTTCTAGTATCAGTCATATACACTAGATATAACAATGCAGGACAAAAGGAATTCCTCAAGTTGATGATTCTCAAAATACATTTGTTGTATGTGAATATCCTGCATTCTTTTAAACAGGTTTCCAGGAAAAAAAGGATTTCATGGATGATTTTCAAAGACATTTGCAAGGTATGTTAAATCAGTTTTAAGGCGCTATTATATTGCATTCACTTTGAAATGCAACCGTGTTTAAGCACCACTTGGTAAATAGTTGAATATTTAATCCACGAACCAGATCCATCTAGACACGGTCCAAATTTGTACAAATTAATCCAAATAACTTTTGGCCATTTTAACACCCAGTGTCAGTTTAACAAATCATAAAACCAAGCAGTAACTAGGAAAATATTCTGAACCCAAAATTAACAGCCACTTACCACCTTCCCAAATTTGGAAACCTCAGCGACTTTAGCTCTCTGCCGACCTGGAGAACCTACTTGTGCAAGATCAAAATGTTATTGCCACATCAAAACATTACATAGAAATTTCTTGAGCAGAATAAATTACTTTTTTAAGTTGTCTAGAATTTATTCGAGAAATTAGCTGAAGCTGGCATCTATAGCATTTGAATAGAATGCACACACAGAGACACACAAACTCAGGTGAAGACAGGACAAGCATATGGAAATATCAGACAAGCATACTTTAATGAAACAGAAATTTGGAGAAGTCTAAAATCCAGAAGATATACTAGTTGTAGTTTGAAATTATGTTATCATAAATAATTAAGTTCACGCATATACTATACCAAATTATTCTATTTCTTAAGTGTTTGATACTATAAGAAAATCATATTCCAACACAACTTCTGATAAAATATGCCTACTTCATTTGAGTCATTCCATTATCTGACAAAGCAGCCGTAAATGATCATAGTCAAGGATTGTGGTAAGAAATAAAGAAGAAAGCAAGAAGTTCAAAGTTCCGAACTCAAGCACATACGTAATAAATCTGGTGACTCCACCAATATACAAAATTAAATTCATTTTTTTATGTTATAGATATCCTGGCAAGTGAATCAGCTAGATTTTTATTTTCATTCAACTTATGGAAAACAGCTGCTAGTGATCATAACAACCAAAAAAAAGCACAGCACGTGATAGATAGCAAAAGAGTAAGTATTCCAAAAACACCACACGACAAACAACAATTTCTACACCTAATCAACAACTTCATAAAAATAAAAAAAAATAAAAAAATTATACTTCATAATACAATTTTTCAGCTCCTTTACCTGTTAATATGATAATTCCCTCAGCAGAGACCGTTGCCAAATCTGGAAGCGTATTGTTAAGGTATCTCGGAGACAAGTAATCCAATGCATCTGAGACAATTACAACAGAAAATGATTTTGGCCTGTATGGAAGAGAAAACTTGATATCAGCTACACGTACAAGGCCTTTACGCACTATTCCTTTGCAGATGCCATCAGCATCCTCTATATCGTATGGTTCCACGCCCCAGGCTTCAGTTTCCTCATCTTTTAACAATCTAGAAACCACTGAACATGTATCATGACCAACATGCAGAACTCTATGCATGCTATCACCATATGCTTTCTTCAAAATTGGAATTGCTCGCTGAACCTCTACTGTGCATGAATAATCACCTGCACATGATGTACATGAAAAACATACTAATAAAATTGATGGACAACCTCTACAATCAACACTTGAGAACCAAACCAATTCAAAACATATAATGCTTAAATGAAACGAAAATCTGAAGGTCTAACACATGAAAAACAGAAGAACCAAATTACCTTCTACCTTACTTATAGTTTCTTTAAATCTTCCACTATCGCCTATCACAAAGCATTTCAAAGTTCAGTCAATGCTGTATATACAAATATAAAATATAATATCTGCAAATTCTATCACAATACATAAACTTTATAATTATAAATTATAATTAGCTGAATAATATATTTTCCCTGTGTTTGTAAGATGTAAGTTATAAGATGTAAGTTATATGCCACAAGAATAGACAAACTAGACAGTTTAAATACAAGAAACCTCTCTCTTATCAAGAAAATTGACCACAAATACTCCTCATCGCGCTCATAATTTTATCATGTTTTAGCTTTCTCATGCAATTGCCATGCACTTTATCATGTTTTAGCTGTCTCATGCAATTGCCATGCATGAACAAGTCGCTAATAAAATGGATACTGCAATATAAACAAAATATCGGCAACTCAATGCAAACCTGAGCCACTGTACAAATAAACCATAAGTAGCAATGCGCCCTGAAAAATTTCATTCAATAAATAGAAATCGGACTCGCCCGAATTGATGCATATAATTCAAATGATAAAACATTCAAAATGTTATATAGGAAACAACAAGTACCACAACGAGCCCCATGGATAAATATGGAGAAGAACGTGATTTAGAAGAGGCAAATATACCAGCAGTTCCAGTGTCTCCATATCGTCGAGTTGAATTCACCATCCTTCTTGACATGACTGCCAATCAATTCAATCGATGAATGCACCTACAAATGTCCTACGCTGATTGAATGAAGAGACGCATTTTTGGAACTTGAGAGGGCGAGAGTGATGATCTAAATTGTCTTTACTTGGCTGTTAATGGAGATTAGTGGTAACAAACCTGATTCTGACAGGGGCGTTGGTATCGTTAATGATAACCAACGGTTTCGATGGACTTTAACTATAACTAAACTTGTAGTTGCGATCAGGAGAGCGCGCCTTAACTGTTGGACTATGTGACTCAACGTCTGAGGAGGAATCTGATGACTGTGGTTGGGTTCAGGGTAGAGCTGGCCGTGGGTCGTGCCGGCAGGCACGGCATGACAAAGCATGGCACGAAAAAAAGCATGGCATGGCACGGCATGAAAATATACAGGCCATGCCGTGAACCGGCACGATGCGGCACGAAAAAAATAAAATTATAAAATAATAAAATTAATAGCTATTTTTTAAAATAGCCATTACTCCCCTGTGCAAGGGGGTAACGACTATTCTAAAATAGTTGTTACCGCCCTACACAGGGGGTAACAACTGTTTTAAACTTAAAATCATGTTGTTAAAGCCATTATGTGTATAAAAGATTGGGTAATGGTAAATTTGAAGCTTTAAAATCATGTTGCTGAAGATATATTTGAAAATTTTAAGAATTTAGAAATTAATGAAAATGAAGATGTATACTAATTCTTAATCCTAATTTCTAAGTTTGTATTTGTAATTTATAATTATAACTTACAAGTAATAAAAAGTGTTGAAATTCAATTAATATTTCAATGTTTCATTATTTTATTATATTTCATAGTGATTACATATTTTTAATTAATATAAATACAAAATGTCACTAAATATAATAAATAAAATATTTTTATAATAATTATTAATAATAAATCAAAACTACCATAATTTATAAATATTAAAATAAAATATTTTCACAAAGCACATGGGCCAACCCATGGCATGGCCCAAGGCATAGCACGATGTATAACAGGTTGTGCTGTGGCCCTTCAAATTTCGTGGACCGACACTGCATGACAGGGCACGAAATTGTGCAGGCCTTGGCATGGCACGGCCCATGGCACAATAGACCTTAAATTTTTAGACACGGCACGATCTACCGTCACCTCTAGTTCAGAATATGGTTTTGTCCGTTGGATCAAAGTTTTAGTTCCTGATATTTAGTCCTACTGGAACCGGGCAGTTAGTGGACATCGGGGTTCAATGGATTTTTCAGTGAATTGGGCTATATTTGGGCTCCGATAATAGCAAAAGCCCATTCTAGACTATTCCAGACTAACGGCGTCGTTTTTTTGTTCAGCTAGGCATCCACTAAATGAATGCCACGTATGCAGTTTTGGCGCTAGAGAACTCTTTGTTTTGGGTCCGATAATGAGCACCTAAATCTCCCTCCCTCGGCCCAATCTCACCTTATTGTTCTCTCTCAGTGGAAGTTTAGAACTCTTTACCGGGAGACAGAGTCTTATTGGAAAGGCTAAGGCAGTGCAGAAAAGAATTCATTGAAGGCCAAATTTATAAAGGAAAAACCCTAAGTATGCCATTGGCATTTGGAGTTAGGGTTTCTAATTTATTTATCATCGGTTGACAGCAATCGTTGAATTCAGGGAATTCAATTCCCGAGAAGATGGGAGGGGAAGATAGAAACCGGGATAAGGAGAACCCATGGCAGTCCCCAAACAGACCTCATCAAGAGAAAGATGACGTCAAACTCTGGGGAATTTTTCTCTTCGGTCTAATTGGCGCCACTGCCACCACCTTCGCGGTATTTTTTTTTTTTTTATTTGATTATTTGTAATTTCGATTAGTAATATTTCTCTTCTTTAACGTGAAACAAATGTTAGACTTCTATAAGTTTGCTATTCTATTTACTCAAAATCATGTGAAGATGTTTAAATGACTCGTACAAGTGAATCTCATTGGTCTAATTTTGCGAATCAATACTGAGTTATTGTCGTTTGATTGTAAAATGTGATCGTTGTTGCACATGTGGCTATAAATATTGAGATTTGGTTTTTTTGGTCAAGAACTTATTGCTCCACTGCCTACCTGCCGTACTTCAAAACGCTTAAACTATAAGAAAATGTTGTAAGTTATGTAAACGTTTTACCTTCTTGGTTAAGATTTAGAAGTAGGTTTATTGATGCCAATCAATTATCCTTTATTGGGACCTATCCTGCTAGACACATTCATTTGATGTTTGAAACAATTTGGCAGGTTGGTCAGCTGCGGAAGACTGTAGATTGGTTCTATTCTCAGGTAGACATGTGTGCTTTTCATTTACCATAGAATTTGAAGCCTCTTTGTTCTCTGTGACTGGAATTATATAGGAAAATGGTCAGATTTGGAATATAAATTCTTTTTAGTGGATGTTGATGGTTCTTTTATTTTTTCTGTTTCTGGAATCATAGCTGTAGTCTAATTCTGAGGAACACATACAGGCAAAGTAAGGAATTGCTATATTAGGTTGCAATTTGAATGCTGCATTTTTTGTCACTATCTCTACAATTTGATGAAATTGAAATGAGGGTCTCTGTGTTATGTTGTTTGGGTTTTTGCTCGATAAATGATGTTTTCATATGACTTGTGGAGACAAGTACTTTATTTCTCAAGTATGTCTGATGTTATATATATTGTCACTGTTCTCATAGATAATTGGCTAGCCAGGCTGATTATGTTATAATTGCTCCATAAAAGTTAACCAGGTCACAGTCATCATGGAAGGGAGCAACTGGCGGTTCTTTCCGGTCATCTTTTCAGGAGGAAGCATGGAGAAGGTATAATCGTCGAATGAGAGAGGAGTATGAAGAAGAAATGGAGAGAGTGGTGAGTTTTGTTGGTCCACTTGGCCAGTCAGCAGTGTGCTTTTAGCACAACCAATTCTATATTGTCATTGTTACATAAACTGTTTATAGTATGGCCATTCTGCTCTTCTCAGGAGCGAATAAGGCGCATGCAAAGTGTGTTCAACAGAGAAAGGAACAAATTTAGAAGGAGCTATGAGAGCTGGAAAGAAAATGATGCAGGTGCTTATAATCACCACTTCCAGCGGGATGATTGGTACTGGAAGACAGATACATCATACAGAAGTCAGAGGACTAATTACAGACAGCCTCCTAGAGACAGTGGAAGTTATTCATTATCACATCACTACTCCATTTTGGGTCTTGACAGGTAATTCTATTGTTACAAAAACCTGAAAGAAAAAGGTCCGGATCTCCTGCTAGAATGATTCATTGTGGAGAGAATGGGCTATATTGCTGGTTAGGTTTGCATATCTTACCCATCAACAGGGTCTAGATAGATTGAACGTGAGTTTATGTTGTCAGATAAACAAGAACTGTTGAAGATTATAACTCCAATAAGTTAACTGATCCTTTCTCTCCCTTCTGGAAATTTCTGAGAAAAATTATTTTTGACTCTCTATTCGTCCTGAAGAGTTGAGAATATATCAATATCCAAATAATTTCTTGGTGTAAAGAGCTTTGTGTATTTTGATTGTGATTATCATGAATTTATTTCATCTTTCAACTGCCCTTTTATAACCCTTACCCGTTGCTGTCTAGTTGATAGGAGGATGCGTTCTTCCCATTTTTGCTCCTGGAAAATGGATAAGTATCTCAAAATTTCTCCCAAATTAACTGGCTGAGAATAAATATAAATCAATTAATGATTGATATGGACTGTTTTAATTCTGTTCAGATTCTTGTGTAAATTTGATTCTCATGCAGAGTATACTTCACCTGTAGTGTGTGAAGAAAGCATGATTTGAAGTTCATGATACATTTTACAAGGCCAAACTGTTTTCTTTTTTTTCCTTGAGACAATCTTTTGTAAATCTAATTGTAAGATATATTGTTGGAACTTGAAGCAGAATGGATGAAATATTTGTTTATGTTCTACATCTAAATTATGTGAACCACAAACTTTCCATGAAAGCAAAATATTCGCACTTGACTTTAGAGTTGTACTTAGGTTGTTTATGGTTATCATTTTGTCAATTTTTCTTTCCTCTCGATAGTATACATGACCTTGCTGGCCTACAAAGTTGTTTTTTATCTTTTGTTTGTTTTCATGGTTCTTGATAATTGTATATATCTCATATGTTTTGAATTGCACAGGTCCAGAAAAACTCCTTATACAGAAGCTGAGATTAAGGTATGCACTTTATTAAGACTCGTTCCATGTTACTGTTAGGGAATTCTTATACATCTTTATCAGAGATCAATAGTTTCATACTTATTTCTTGTAACGTGCTTAAAACTTTGTAAAATCAAAGTTACAGTGGTCAAATCCAACAAGCGTTTGTTTCTGCTTGAGGCAAATTGACATGTCATTATTTAAAAATATCCTTATTTCCTCCATCTGTTTTTTGGTTATTTTAGAATTTCTTTTTGAACTTTGAGGTCGCTTATTATGTCATGTGAAGTTGCGGTGATTGATGAAAACGTAACTCTGTTATCTATTTAGATTTTGATTGTACTAGAAGCCAGTTATTCCTTTTCTGCATCTGTAAGTTTATTTAAGCCAGAATAGCTCATCAGTGAAGTTAACTTTAACTGTTACTAGAAATTCAAATATTCAAGGAATTGGTTAATGGTTATGTTTAAACATTTATTATCATTTGTCTTCTGAGCCATATATATGATTTGTTAGAGGAATTCTTGGTGATCTCCATGTACTGATTAAGATAAAGGCTTCATAAACCCAAGGGTTGGGCTTAGTGGTAAAAGCCCTTGTTTTCCACCAATAAGTAAAGGTTAAAATTCCACTGGGCCAGACCTAGTTGGGATATTATATCCGATTTGTTTGTGGGGTCTAGAAGTAACTCCCAGTTTAGAGTTCAGTGAACATGTAGAGAAACTCCAGAGATTTCTGGGTATCAAAGAAAAAGATAGAGAGAGAGAAGTTTCATAGAGGAACTGTTAGTGTTCTGCTTTTTTCCTTTGTATGTGTTTCTTTCAT